GGTTTTACATTCGTTTGGAAAGAACATGGTTTTTAAAACTAAATCGGTCAAGGGTCCAGTTACTGGTTCAAATGGTTTGATTGTTCGACCCGAATGATCGGCTCATTCTGACAAAAAAATTAAAAAAAAATTGAAAAACGGTCAAAACCATTCGAACGGTTCAAACAGTTAACTATCTGGGTCAACAGTTTACTGACCAAAATCAACGGTTTTAGAAAAAAAAGCGATTCTGAGAGAAAACAGAACCGATGAAGTTCCTAGTTTTTCTGGTCCGACAGTCAGATCCGATTCGGTCTTGAAAACCATGGGAAAGAGTGTAATTTTACACCATAAATCGGTGTAATATTTCATTTTGATTTTTTTCGCCGATAATCAATGTAATATATACGTCGAAATTATCGATGTTAACGTCTCTTTCTTCCTCTCTCTCGCTCTCTCTCTCTCTCGCTCTCTTCTCTTTCTCTTCTTCTTCTTCCCCCTTTTTTTCTTTCGCTGTTCCGTCACCGCCGCTGCAACCAGTTGCAGTGGCAGATCTGAACCCACATCCTCTTTCGTTCTCTATCTTTCTCTCTTCTCCTCCTCCTTTTTCTCTCACGATTCTGCTTTCTCTTTGAGAGACTGAAATTTTCTCAAAATCCAGAACCCACCTCTTCTCCTTTCCGCCGTCGAAACATGGTGGCCATGAGTTCTCTGACTCCATGGACTGCAACAATGTCCTCCCCTCTCACCTCTTCACCCTCTTCCTCTCGCTCCAACTTCCCAAAGCACCTTCCATTTCYGTCATCGTCTCCACCTCGCCACATCTCAATCTTCAGTGGTTGTTCTTCGGCAGGAACACAACGTGTCCGGTCCGAAGCAGCCTCTGCCCAAGGATTCAGACTTGACGCCCAACCGTAACTCCGCAGACTAATCCAGGAATGGTGCATTGCAAATGCATCCAATGGTGTGGATCAGATTCCGACCCCGAAATCTCTCTTTGAAGGACCCAGGTAATTAAGCCCATTCAAGAACTTCGGATTCCTCAGCTGCAACTGCAATCACTGAGGAAATTAGAGGCCATTGCATCCAGGAATGAAAAGAACAGGGGGCCAATGGTAGAGGCTGGTGTAGCCAAGGCCATGGTTTTGCTGATCATGTCACGTTTCAGGGAAGCCCGAACTGATGGACTCAGTGAAGCTTTTAGTGTTTTCCACCTTGTATGCACTCCAACCGAAGAGATGAAGAAACTTGTTTCAGAGAGCTACGATCTTGTCGAGTCGAGATATCTCTCTCCTCCTTCTCTCTTCTTTTTCTTCCCCCCAGTTTTTCTTTCTCTGTTCCGTCACTGCCGCTACTGCCGCTGCAACCTTGCAGCGGCATATCTGAATCCACCTCCGACCTTTCTCTCACCATCTGTCTCTCTTTCGTTCTCTCTCTTTCTCTTGTCCTCCTCTTTTTCCTTCTTCTTCTTCCGCTGGTTCCCTCCACGTAAATCTTTAAAATCAATCGTCCCAATTTCCTTCGACAACTAAATCGATTCACATTTTTCATCGATATAAAACTGAATTTACACCTAAAACAAATGCAGCCTAATGGTTTTGCATTTGACAACTGAAATTGCACCAAGATGGTTCCTATTCTGTTTATTAAACTCACATTTTTTGGATTAACTTGTACTATTTCTCAACCATGTATTGTTTCCTTTTGATTTTGGGGTACATTTTATATCGTCCTTGTTTTGCATTTCACAACTGAAATTGCACCCAAGATCCGTCCCTGTTATTTGAAATTGCACCCAAGATGGGTCCCTGGATAGAAACAACATTTCTAAACTTTGCATTTGTACATATTTGTATTTGTATAGTGAGAGAATGCAATTCCAAGACTTTTGGCCAGTCGATTCAAATTTGTATTATTTTGTATGCATTTTACTGTATATAATTGTATTTGTATTCCTTCCAAACTAAGCCAATCCATATTCTTCCCAAACTAAGGCTTATCTATTGAGAAAAAACAAAAGAATTTTCTTAATTTCCATTTCTTTTTTTTTTTCAATTAAGGACTGATCTTCCATTGATGCCCTCGGTCTGCAAGATGTACCAATTGGGGGAGTCATGAGAATGGGTGATGGGTCGGTTTGGTTCAGGTTTTGCTTGAATTTCTTGTTGCATTTGGGTAAATTATAAATTGCCACCCTACATTTTTATTTAGGGCATGTTTGATGCGTCTTTTTGGGAAGATCATCTAATAGATCTAATAGTCAAAAGATGTATTGAGCTTTTGCATGAAGATTTGAGCAGCCTGAAGTACATTTGGTAGATGCACGTTTTTCCGTGCAATAATAAAACCCGAAAGATGCAAGAATTTTCATTTTGAACTTCCCGAAATAGCCCAAAATGGGCTTTTCGTGTCTTTTCGGTATTCCATCTTTTTGTGGCTAAATCTTCCATGCACCAAACGAAAATATACCGAAAATTAGTCTTCCCAACTTATAAACAGCCGAAAGACCATACGAAAAGATGCACCAAACACAACCTTAGTTTTGTTTTTTGGTAGAATCAGGAGAAACTACAATAAGGTCGGGGTAGCTGAGCCCCAAGAATCACTAAAACACATGGAATAGAGGAATAACAAAAACTAAGAGGATTGAGATAGCACAAAATAAAATATACTTTTATAGTCTTAAATATAATTATATAAACTTTTATATTAATATCAATAAATATTATAATATAATTGGATTCGATTGAGTCAAATTTGAATCTGATCCAATTATATAGACACATTATCCAAATATAAATTAATTGGATTCCGGGGCCAAATTCCATGTAAATCATTTATCTTGATGACCCAGATAAATGATTGCATTGGTTCCCCACAAAAAACACACCCCCACCTGCCCCATAGCATGTCTCATCCATGCATTGGGAACATCTCCGTGAACATGTATAGGAGATTTCCCCCATGACAATAGGGGTGTTTACGGTTCGGTTAACCAAACCGTGGGCCTATTTTTGAAACTGAACCGGTATTATTGGTTTTTCAAAAATCAGTAACTAAAGTCGTTCAATTAATTGGTTGACCAGTTCAGTTCGTTGATTTTTTTATTTTTTATATTTACAATATATATCATAAAAATATATAATAAAAACTAGAAATATATATAATATTATATTGTAAATAATAAATAATATATTATATATTATAAATGTATATTTATATATAATGCATATTTATTAATTTATAGGTAAAATTCTTGATTAGTACCCTGTACTTTGGGTCTTGCGTCACTTTGGTCCTCAAACTTTAATGCGACAATTCAGTACCCAAACTTTCAAAACGTGACAATCTAGTACCTAGCGTTAAATAGTTGTTAATCAGCCGTTAAATGATATTTTAAAAAGACACAAATGCCCTTCGAGTGTTATCTATTTTTTTTTTATCAACTATACAAACATTGACCAAAAAAATTAATAGTCTCAAATGCTTGCTTCTTCCATTCAAGAAAGTTGGGGTCACCAGAATGTCCACTCAAACATAACCCCAACTTTCTAGAATGGAAGAAGCAAGGATTTGGGACTTTTAATTTTTTGTCAATGTTTAGATGGTTGATAAAGAAAATTAAACGACACTCGAAAAGTATTTGTGTCCTTTTCAAATGTCACTTAACAAGGTTAACTGCTGATTAATGGTAGGAACTGGATTATCACGTTTTGAAAGTTCAGGTACTGAGTTGTCGTATTTTAAAGTTTGGGGACCAAAGTGACACTAGGCACAGAATACAGGATACTAATCAGGAATTTTCCCTATACAGAAAATATAAAATACATATCAGAAATATATGTATATTGTCGGTTCAGTTAATTATTGGTTTTTTATATTGATTAAACCAAAATCAAACCGATACCTTCAGCTTTTTTTTAAAATATCAAACCAACGAATTTGATTAATTGGATTTTCAGTTTAGTTTTGGTCAGTTTTTTTGTTCTATTTGATTTTTTTTTCTTTTCTTGCTCACCTCTAACGCACAGCTAGGATGTGCAATGGGGTGCGCTCTCTTGGGAGTCAATCCAAATTCTAAAAACTAGGGCTATTCATGGGTTGGTTTATTGCGATTTTTCCAACCGACCCGACCTGGTCGGGTTACTTGACATAGAAACCGAAACCAACCCAGTGTTAAGCAAAACCAACCTAGTCGGTTTGAGTCAATTTGGGTCGGTTTCAGTTCTAAGTTCATCCCTGTGATAAAATCTTGCTAATTTTAAAAACAGTCATAAATTGAACATCATTTCAGCCATCTCCTATGATAAAATTTAAATGAAAAGTTAATAACAAAAGTTGTTCATTAATCACTATTCACTAATCCAAAGTTTCTTGCAACCATTCAAAAACTAGGTGGTCTAATGGGCTTTGGAACTTCATGTTTGAACTAAGTCGGTTCGGTTCGGGTTGGTTTCGATTTTCTTGTGTATAAACTGAAACCGACCCGAATCATCGGTTTAAGAATTTACACAACCCGAAACCGACCCGTGCTTATCAAAACCTGGCCGACTCGGGTTGGGTCGGTCCGAGTTGATCGGTTTGGTCGGATTGTGCCTTCTTATGAACAGCCCTATTAAAAACAGAAAATGGTGTGTATATATATATACATATATTCATCTACAGAAATTGTTTATTTTTTTTAAAAAACAAAAAATAATAAAATTTTCCACATACATTTCAGCCAAAAACGGAATTTGCACGAAAATTTTGATAAAATTTTTCAACAGAAATTACATAGTACAACTAAAAAATAGCAAGAAAGTATGGAAAATGATAGCAAAAGAAATCAACTAGATAAAGCAAAAATTGTAAAAAAAAACGAAAATATTTAGATCTTTTTTAAAATGTTACTACCATAAAATAACAAATTTGGAGAAAAATACAGTAGAGAATTCTAGCATCAAATTAAAGCATATGTATCTTTCAAAAAAAATTAAAGCATATGTTGACGATGCTGTCGTCGTGGTCATCGCTGAATGTCAAACCGTTGTGATGGGCTCTAGGTGCAACAGCACATCCTTATCCGAGCATTCTTGTTTGTTCTTCTTTCATTGATCTTTCCCCAATCAGCCAACGGGCAATTTGATCATTTGATCACATCCAGACCTTGTAATATATTACATATTCGTCGGCGGCGGCGAATATTGCATTTGCATCTCTCATTCCTGTTTGCTGAATTCTTCAAATCACCAACAATGGCTGATGGACTAATTTCCATTTTCTTAGGGAAATTAGTTTCTATCATACAACAAGATATTCAGGAAGAGTTACGACTGGTTACTGGTGTCAGAGAAGATGTCGAAAAGCTTTCTCGCACACTCAGGAGTATTCAGGCTGTGCTTAAGGATGCAGAGGAGAGGCAAGTGAAAGATAACCTGGTAAAGGTTTGGCTGGAGAATCTCAAAGATATAGCCTATGACACGGATGATGTGTTGGATGAGTGGAGCACTAAAATTCTCATGTTGAAAGAGGTACGCCCCAATAATAACTTGTTGTCTTGCTGCTTTTGGTTCAAGCAAGTAGGTCTGCACCGTGATATCGGTCTTAAGATAAAGAAGATTAACAAAAGACTAGATGAGATTACAAGTGAAGAAGACAAGTTTAACTTCAAAAGCAGTAGCAACGTCAATACAGAGGAGCCAATCAATAGACCACAAATTAGACAAACTAGCTCTTTGATTGATGTATCCATCACAGTAGGTCGGAATTCAGAGAAAGAACTTATAGTGAGCAAATTGCTGACTGAGGGTAGTTGGCAGGAAACGACCTCAGTGCCCATCATCTCCATAGTTGGTATGGGGGGCTTAGGCAAGACGACTCTTGCCCAGCTAGTTTTCAATGATAACAGGATAACAGCCCAGTTCGAGAAAAAAATTTGGGTATGTGTATTTGAGCCTTTTGATAAGGTAAGGATTGCCAAGGAAATTATTAAAGCCTTTCACAAGGAGATTCTCATTGATAATGATATTTCATGGGAAGCTCTGCATAATCTGTTAACCGATTCCCTTGAGAATAGGCTCTTTCTACTTGTTCTAGATGACATGTGGACTGAGGATGTGTTTGATTGGGATCCATTGAAGCTTTCTCTCAATTTTTCTGCACAAGGAAGTAGAATTCTAGTCACTACACGCAAGACAACAGTTGCAACAATGCTAGGCACTACTTACCTCCATAATTTAGAGCTATTGTCTGACCCGGACTGTTGGTCATTGATGAGCCGCATAGCATTTGCAGAGAGGGCAACACAAGAGTGTCAAATGTTGGAAGGAATCGGTAGGGAAATTGCCAAAAAGTGCAAAGGCTTGCCTCTTTCTGCAAAGTCCATTGGAGGCCTCCTGCGCTTCAAGAGACCAAGAAAACATGACTGGCAAGATGTATTGGAGAGCCACACATGGGAAGAAGTTCAAGAACATGTCTTACCAGCTCTGTTGTTAAGCTATTATGATTTGCCCTCACATTTGAAACAGTGTTTTGCATATTGTGCTATCTTTCCCAAAGATAAGTGGATATACAAGGATGAGTTGGTCAAGTTGTGGATGGCACAAGGTTTTCTTATTAACAACAGTTCATCAGAAAGAGATATGGAGTTAATAGGTGAAGAGTACTTTGATATTTTGGCCATGCGATCATTTTTCCAGGACTTCCGCAAAGATTATAACCAAAAGATAGAGTGTAAGATACACGATTTGATACATGACTTATCCCAATTTCTCACAAATAAGGAATGCAGTGTTCTAAATATAAGCAACAATATAGCTCTAGAGTTGAACTATAGCAATGCCCGGCATTTAGTTGTAATACAGAACTATAAGGATGGCTTAGATGAAGTATCCATTCCTCCCCTTGTTTTCAAGGCAAAGAATCTAAGAACACTCATACTACCTATGACTATAAGTGTATCTTCTGATCTATTTCTTCATTTAACATGTCTAAGAGCATTAAGTTTGAGTGTCCCACATCTCAGGGAACTACCAAATGAAGTGGAGAAATTGGTACATCTAAGATATCTTGATTTGTCTTCAACAAGATTGAAGGAATTGCCTGAAACATTGGGTAATCTATATAACTTGCAAACTTTGGAGCTGAATTTTTGTGGGGAACTTTATAATCTTCCTGAAGGAATTACAAAACTGACTAAAATGAGACATCTTGAAATCAGGGGTACTGAAAAATTGCAGTACTTACCACAAGGCATTGGTAGACTAATCTCCTTACGCAGATTATCCAAATTCATTATAGGTGGAAATAGTGCCACAGGCAGAGAAGGATGTACAATTAAGGAACTCAAAGACCTCAAGTTCCTTCAAGGGGGATTGGAAATAAGAGGTTTAGGAAGATTAAAAAGTGAAAATGACACTAATTATGCAGACCTAAAGAATCGAAAACATATCCACAAATTGGGTTTATATTTTGATGGTTGCAATGGACAATTTGATGCAGTAGGGAAGATGGAGAGCATTCTTGAGGGTCTACAACCACATCAAGCCTTGGAGGGATTGGGAATAGGTTGCTACCCAGGTACCAAATTAGCAGGTTGGATGGTGAGAGATAATGGGTTGCCCAATCTGCGTTTTCTGAGATTTTATGCATGTAAAAATTTAAACATGTTGCCACCTGCCATAGGGAAGCTACCATCTCTTGAAAGGCTGAGTATAAAAGCAATGGATGAGATAAAATACATGGGCCATAGGTTTTTCGGAATCAACAGTGCAGATGCTGCCAAGAATGATTGTGAAGCTAAGAAATTGTTCCCAAAGTTAGATTCTCTTAATATTCTTGATATGAAAAACTTGGAAGATTGGGTTGTTGACACTGAAGAAATAGAAACCACTTCTGTTTTGATGCCACATCTTTCTTACTTGTATATTCACAATTGCCCCAAGTTAAAAGTGCTTCCCCACCGCATCTTCCCTGCTGCACCACTACAAACACTACTGATATTACAGTGTCCTCAGTTGACCTGGACGCCATCCTCCTCCTCCCTTCTACAACACCTGCAGTTCTTGAACTTATCTGGGGATGTAGGTGATCTTTCGAGGTCATTACCATCAAATAACAAGATCATGGACTTGACGATACAACATTCACCTTTCCGGTCATTGCCCACTGGTTTAGAAAATTTCACAGAGCTAAAAAGCTTGTGTGTTTATGCTTGTGAGTACATTGACTGTATTCCTGATGAGTTACTACATCTCACCTCTTTAAAAAAATTGGAGATCGTCAGATGCCCTCTGCTGGAAGAATGTTGCAGAAAGGAAGTAGGAAAAGACTGGAAAAAGATATGCCACATCCCCCACATTGAAATCAATGAAAGAAGAATCCAGTAACAGATTCAGCGGTAAAGCATTGTTGGGCCTGCAAGACTAGAGGTAAAGGCATTTTACATTTCAGAATGATGAAGAATTATACTAAGAAAAATACTGAATTTGAATTTCTCAAAATATAATACATTTTTTATTTATTTGGCAGATTTATCTATGATTAGTGGAAATAACCCCAAAATACAAAATTATTTATAATTAAGGATCCTGCAGTTTCCATGAATCCAATTTTGGATTTGTTTAATCAAATTCTCCATCTATTGATGATTTTCTGACTCAGACAAAAGCTACTAGAATCAACCCCAATTGCAAAGTTTCCAACATCACACACAACCTCCATGGAATCTATCTCCCATGTAACTTCAGACCCTAGTTCCAAAGTTATAATCCACTTCTGCCCACCACATGCTTTCTCTGGATTAAATTGTTACTAGATTCATTTTTGAACCTCCCTGAACATTGGCAGCCTCTTATAAAAGAAACAAAACCGTCTTCTATGTTCCCATACAGACCCTGAATCCATCATTTGTTGATGGGGATGATAAAGAAAAAACTCTGTGGTACTCGACTAGGTGTGTCTGACACTTAACTTGATACACCAAATATCTAATATTATATGTCGGATTGACCTATACTTGAAGACGTTGACCTGCTTCAAATGATGCAATGTTCCACATACATGGCCTATGGTGAATTTGTAAGGGCTAAAAGAAAATGAATCTGTATCTCTAGTATTTCCTCTTTCCATTTTCTTCAACTTATTATGTTTTTCTATTGCTTTTTCATATGCATGGAGTGTGATCTTACTTTTTATTTATTTATTTATGCTTTGTTTGTTCTTACAAGGTGATTATTAATCCATATCATTTTCTTTCTTTTTCATTCTTTTTAAGGTTGCATAATTTTGAAAGGAAGATGGTGGATGATTGGCCATAGATTGAAATCAAGCTTGTCCGTGAGCATTTTATTGACAAGAAGTGTATATAATAAGAATGGAAACCCCATCTTTGCAGAATCACTGTAAGCCCACTCCAATTCCTTCCTGCTTGTTGCTCCTTTTATCTCTCATCCCTGTTCAAGAACTAAGATAACAAATACTAACATGGGCATCCAATATACTTTTCATTCTTTGATAACTGAATTTACTCTGAAGAAGTAACAATGAATTACATATTTACTCCATATCTTCACCAAACATCTGATCTATAAAATTCATCTTTAACAATCAAAGAATAACTGCATTTTGTTAGGTGATTGGTGATGAACTGACTACCAAAGATATGCAATTCAATGTCTAACCTGGTTGTATTGGTTCAAGTCAGATGTGTGTTGAAAATTGTCAACCTTAAGTGAATAATTCAATAATCAGGTTACGACATGTCATCCTAGGGTGCATTTATTGTAGAGTATCAGATGGAGATGCATATAATATTCAGACTTGTGGACTTAAGCTTGCCAAAAATTCCAAATTGAATAATAGGATTTTTGCTGCCCAAGTACTGAAGTATGGTTGAAGGTAATTTACAATTTGATTGCAAAGTGTTGGTGATATTGTATACTCTACATGGTAGACTATGAAACTGTCTCAAATCTGGTGATACAGGACCTATGATTGTGGCCTAGGAGCCTTGTAACTTACCACATGGAAGACAACCTGAATACCAGGCCCATCATTAGATAGGCCCCACCTGATAGAGGACTTACACAAAAATCACCATGATTAAATGTCCTTAGACCACCTGATTCATGAGTCATTTTTTAGAGATATCAAAGAGTTTAAATTGAGGTTTTGACTACTATCCAATTTTTTGCTTCAAAATCACATATTTTATGTAATATTTTAACATGATTTTTGCTACAGTTAATCTTCAAGCTGGGATCCATTTAATGGTGCTCCTGATCTTCCTAATGTAGAGCAGTTGACAAGTTATGTGCCCACAGACCATTTATGGATCCTACATCCTGTATCCCAAAACACTTGCTTTTGCATTTCAGTCATACTGTACTCCGCTACCTTAGAAGACTATACTGGCATTTATCCAAGAGGTGAACCATTACTTCTGAATTTGAATCTTTGGCATGGCCATTCTTCTTGGAGGTGGAGATTGTTAGAAGGTTTGAATATGCATTTCCAGTTACAGACTAAAACATAAAGAAGTGTATATTTGAATATCATTAATTTGTTAATAGTAAATTTCTTCTTTAGTCATAGTTCAGCAGATTCAGTACAATATGACAAGCAGAAGATATAAAATTTGTCCACTTTTTCAGGCTCCAGTCAAATAATTGTTCAACAATATCGATTAATCCACTTCAGATTTGAATCAGTTTTTTTATGCTCACTTTGTAATTATCAATGTCTACATGTTGTGAACAGTTGTCAATTTGCTTCAGCATCATCTGCAATCCACTTTTTTAATTGGTAACTGCATCTGTCATCCATATTTGTACTTTCAATAATTTTTTGAGGAAGTAACTGCAAGATAAACATTGGAATATAGAGAATAGTACATTAATTAGGGAGAATAACCACAGTCCACCTAATCGAGTTGCTTTTTTTTTCTCTTGAGAAGTGGGGATTGGGGTATATATATATGACTCCTTTTGAGTTTCTTCCCTAAATATTGCAGTTCATCATTTTGACCTGATTGGTTAATTTTAACCATCTGATTTGTTAATTCATTTTCAGACTACACATGTTTTTGCCATATTTGTCAAAGCTTTGGGCCATATAGCTGTATTAGATTTAAAGGCATGTTTCCTTGAGTGGATGAATATACCATATGTATAGCTAATTGTTGACCTATTGAGGGGCATTTTATGCTTTTCTGGAGTACCTTTTATTCTGGTTGGAAAACAAGAGTTATTTACTTTTTTTTTCAATCCCATATGGAAGGGTATGAGATCATTCATAGAACTACATGGAGATTTAGACAATTCTGGGAGAGGAGATGGATTTTCAATTTGTCGTAGTATCCAAGGATGTGGGGGCACTACCCATGGCATTCTCTTTAAAGATAGCAATATCAGTCTGTGCCTAAGTTGCATCATCCCACATAATTGATGTGACTAGATATGTAATTGGTGATGATTAGAGATGATTTGAGTAGGGGGCTGGCAGAGTGATTGAATGTAGACAACAAGAAGGCTTTGAAGGGGATAAGGAGCTGGTGTAATCCAAACTTGCAATTACAACAGTTGAAAATGAAATAAAGGATGGAAAAGCACCTAAGTAGATTATCTTGTAGTTAAAAAAGGGAAGAAAGAGATTTGAGAGGAAGCAACCAAACACTGGAGGTTGTTTTGCCTGCTTCTTAGAGATTTGAGGGAAGAAAGAGATTATCTTGTTAATATATGCTAGTTTTTGTTGTAACTCTCCACCTCCAGGTCCCAAAACTTACTTGCCCTAGGATTTAGAGAAGTCATGGTATGTTTAAGTCGATTCGCAAAATACCAGGGTATGTTTAAGTCTTTTACCCTAAATAAATTAAGCTTATGCAAAAATGAACATATTTTCCATTTTGAGCAAAATGCCGAGCTAAATCTCAAGCAGCATTGAAACTAATAACAGAAATGTAATTACAAAAATGAAAATCAACATTAACTAGTTAATGTATTCTTCTTCCCCCTTCCCAAACAGACTTGTGTGTGTGTGTGTGTACACACTGAGATGTGTGCTTTATTCTATTTTTGGATACTGAAAGAAAACAGATTCAAAATGTCGTAGTTGGAGAATGATTTGACCGCAAAACTCTGAAATGAAAACAACAGGAATTAGCTCTCTCTATCTGAGACAACAAAGAACACCATAAAATCTTCATGTAAATGTGTTATTGTCTTTGTTTTCCTTTTGGGATTGCTAGTAGAGTTACAGTTTTAAAGCTAACTGTAGCCTTTCTGTGTACCTTCTATAGAGAGATCAGTTTTGGCCTAGACTATCCCTCTTTCTTTATATTTATGGGGTTGAAACTCGTTATATTCAGAATTTCCTCTCAAGATTCTGTTCTTTTGTGTTGTGCAAATTTATGTTCAATCTTGATCATTGGACTCCATTAAGGCCCTGTAGAAGGGCTTCTGAGGCTCTATTATTGCTTCTAAAAGAGGTTATGCTTCACCATCTATCCCTTCATTTTGATTTCATCACCATCATCTTCTACTACCTTCTTTCTACTTCTCTTTTCACTTTCTCTAGACCCAAGAACATAATTTTTTCCTTATTCCAGTTAATTATTTGAAACCCCAACCTAATTCTTATATTCTGTTCAACCAGACCAACAGCAGATGTTTTCTCTTGAAGACTTCAATGCCCTTGGTTTAAGTATGTACTTCAGAATTTAACAACTATGTGGAGTATCTTTAGTATTATTTTAAAAGATTAAATTTTTGGGTGTTTTCCTTTAAATATATATTTTTTAAAAGTATGTATTCAGGATTTGATGGTTTGGTGCTTCAACCTTGATGAAAATGAAACTTTATACTGTCTAACTGTAGGATCTTTTAACAACACCAACTTGCACTACAGATAGGAACTTTGAAGAGATTAATGCAAATAGGATTAAAGCATATGAATTGCTTTACTCACTTCCCAACTGCTAGCCAACAAGGACAACGATAGTCTGAGAATCTTGAAAGTGGATCAAGAAATGCCTTAGAGACTGGGAAAGTAGGTCGATGAGAGATGTAGAAAATGGCTAAGTCTGGTGGAAAGCTGGAATGCTAGGGGATTGTAGAGAATTGGCTAAGGAGGAATGCTCCCCACCACCTTGCTTGCTTGCCTGTTTATAGAAGCGAGGAAGCAAGCTACGTGCATGGAGAAACAAGTCCTTAGGGGGCATTCCTTTTTTGGATTTTGATAGGGGGAAGTTGGTCAATGGGATTTTGGTTCCAATTGACCAAGAATCCCATTTTCTTTTTTCAGATTTATGTGGGGACCAGGGAAAGTTTATTTTCTTGGGTATCACTTACCAGGGAAAGTAATACCCATCTCCTAAGTGGGTAAATAACTTTCCTACCAAAGGGAAAGTTGCCAACACTTAAATAGGACAAAAAAATGCCCCTTTTAATAATGGATTTTTATGGCTAAAATGGTCATTACCTTACAATGTTTTCAACCTGTTATTGACCCGGCCAGTCGAACCATCACCCAGCCAAGATTCCGGGTCCAGTTCAATCAAGACCTGTCAGATGGTCAAAAATGGTTGACTTGGTCGATAACTATTTGACCCAACCAGTTCAACTAATGACCTATTCAATCCGGTGACCGGGTCGCGGGTTGCACACTCAATGCATGCAAAACTTCGGAGGCCATAACTTTGCACTCCAATGTCCGATTGGGGTATTTTTTTATTTTGGGTAACTTTTCGAGATCTATGCATTGCAAGGTGCCATACCTCGCTATTTTTACGAAAAAACCCTTTTTTGCCTCAAATTGTAATTTTTAATATTTTTTATAAAAAAATTAAAAAACATAAATTAAATATAAAATACTACATATATCTAAAATATATTTATATATTTATACACACACACACACACACACATATATATATACATAATAATGGGAAATAAAAGAACATTGATAAATGTACTTGCCTTAATAATTTACCGAAAAGCAAATGGGGCCTTAGTCGTAACTACTTTCACTAGGCAGTTGTTTGGCATCGTTGTTGTTTCTTGGAGCAATGGCGCCACATCAGCACCACGTCGGAAAAACGGTGCTCTAGGAAACGGGCTTTTGTTTGGAGACGTTTTTTCGAAGAAAACGGTGCTCCAAGCCACGCTTCGGAAATCGGGAAACCATGGCTTGGAACAACGCCAAATTTGACACTAGATAATTGGTATCAGTGCAGAAAACGTTTCCTGGAGCATTGGTACCAAAGAGAAAAAGTGGTTGTTGCTCCAGAAAATGTCCAACCTGGCAGCAACGGTTCCAAACAAAAAAAAAAATGTCAGAAAACGGTACTCCAAACCACACATCAGCAGAAAACAGTGCTGCAAGCATCGATGCCAAACATATACTATTTTGCCTCACGAGGTCGGTCGGATGCGCTCACAAGGTCATATTTTTTAATCTCTAGGTGTTGAAACTATGGTTTGGCCTCGCAAGGTCAAATATGGTTTCAATATTGTTGAGTTGCTGGCTTTTAAATGTTAAAATTCTGTTTCAGCCTCGTGAGGTTAAGCACCCTTTCGAGGTTGATGAGTCAATCTTGAATTTCATTCACATTGGGCTTGCGAGGTTCTTCCTTGTGAGGCATTTGCTTGCGGCTGGGTAATGATTCCCATTTAGCCTTGCGAGTTGGCCTCACTCTATCATAGAGTATTTTCCTGCACTCATCTTATTCTATCAATATAGTTGCGAGGTCTCAATTTCGCTGTTTGCGATTAGCCTCGTTATGCATTTTTAGTTGTAATTTTACTTTCTAACACTTGAATATATATCCACTGTCTCACACTAACAATGAGGAACGTTGATGCAGAGAGAAAACAAGATAGAAACAGAATTAGTCAAAAGATTTGGTTCTTCTTTCCTCCATCTCCATGATAAAACTAGGGAACCTGGTGAGCAAGGCTAATGAAATATTTGATGATCTGGAGAAAGAACAGAAAGAACAAGGGGATGATGATGATGATGATAATGTTTTAATGCTACGATTTCTTCTGGGAATTTTCAATACCATCAGGTAAGACATTCCTTGCCAAACAACAATACACTGGTCTCTAGTAGATAAGCCATGAGTTAAAAACTCAAAATCCCTGCTCCTCTCCTTAACAAAACAGAGGTCACCTGTGATAACGTGAAGGAGTCTGCTAAGCAGACCCACATCTAGTTGGATATACAGAAATAGAAACATGTTGCACTGGCATTACTAGTGGCCATAGCCAGTAAACCAGATGTTGAATTAACATGAACCTTTAGACTCTAGGAAATAAGTATATTTGTCAAAGGAAAATAGAAAAGTTGGGCCAACCGAGACTAACCCAAACCCGACCCTAATCTAACCTAAAGTTTTAAGGTTGGGGGGTTCAACAACTTAGGCAGGGTTAGGGTTGACCTTAACCCCACCTAACCTCGCCCAACTCGCACCCCTATTACATGCAGCTTACTCTATTCCACTCAATCCGCCAGTTATGTGCTACTCCACTTGACCCCACGGTTGTGTATTATGCAATCTATACTACTATAAAATGTATGAACGTTTTCATAATATTTTTG